TTTGTAGGCTCCCTTTCCGCCCAAGCCACCGGGGGTGATTGGTTGATTACACCACAAGAGAAGGCCCAGTTTGATAGCATTTTTGAGACTGTTGATACAGCAAAGTTGGGACTCATTACTGGAGACCAAGCTGTCGCTTTCTTCATGAAGGCCCAGCTTCCTGAAGAAACGCTTGCTCAAATCTGGGACCTTGCTGATATCGACGCAGATGGCCAGCTGAGCCGGGATGAATTTGCCGTGGCTATGTACTTGGTGAGAATGCAGCGTAGCGGCAAGGAGCCACTGCCACAAGTGGTCCCGCCCGCACTCATCCCGCCCAGCATGCGCCGCCAAGCGCCTGCACCAATGGCAGCCCCCACACCTCCCCCGGCGCCCGCTCCCGTAGTGCGGACAGCTGCCGACGATTTATTCGGCCTCGATTCGCCCGCACCGCCATTCGCCCAGCCTCAGGTGTCTCAGTCTACCGGAGGCTCCAACAGTGCTTTCCAAACCCCAGGCTCGCCTTCCTCTAGAGCATCCCCTCAGACGGCATCGCATACCTTCAAGCCTTTTGTTCCGACTTCTACATTTGGCCAGAGCTTGCAGCCACAGATCACTGGTGCATCAGCCGGAACCCCGGCAGCAGTTCGCTCCCCCCCGCCTCCGTCGGATGATCTCCTAGGTGACAATGATCCCGAAGAGTCTAACAAGTTGACCAATGAGACCACTGAGCTCGCGAACTTGTCCAACCAAATCGGCTCTCTGGCTAAGGAAATGCATACTGTGCAGGAGAAGAGGACCTCTGCTGAACAAGACATTACACAAACTTCACAGCAGAAGCGTGACTTTGAGTCACGTCTTGCACAAGCACGTTCAATGTACGAGCAAGAGGTTGCCAATTTCAAGGCACTTGAGGAGCGCCTCAAGTCATCCAAGGCTGAGACACAGAAACTGCAGCAGCAATATGCATTGTTGGACGGCAGCCGCCAAGACTTGCAAAACCAATACACGCAAGTTTCGACAGCCTTGGCTACCGATGAGCAGGAGAATGCCAGCCTGAAAGAGAAGATCCGCCAGGCTAATGCCGAGGTCGCTCAGCTTAAGCCAGCACTAGAGAAGGCGCGATCTAGTGCGCGCCAACAGAAGGGTCTTGTTGCAATTAACAAGAAGCAATTAGCTACCGTCGAAGGTGAACGGGACAAGCTCCAGGGTGAAATTGACGGTCTGGCTAGTCAGACCCCACAGTACTCCGAGGAGTCTGCGACACCGGCCGGCAGTGTGCCCGAGGTTATAAGCCCTGCTGCCTCTACGACAAGCCAAAACACAAATCCGTTCTTCCGTCGAACGGTTAGCACGGGTGAACAGGCAAGGTCCCCTGATGTCTCAAATGATCAGCAAAGGGCATTTGACAGCCTTTTCGGACAGTCGTTTGCAGCTTCTCCTGCTGCCGGACCACCACCCACTTCGTTCCGCTCCGAGTCGCCACAAGTCGCAGTAACATCTCCTGATACTTCTGCTGTGACGACGCCATCAGTCTCACCTCCACCTGGCTCTTTGCCTGGCGCATTCCCTGCGGGGCCCTTCTCTGAGCCACCGCCTGCGAGCCAGTCTCGACAGATGACCCCAAACTTCCTGCAGTTCAATGATAGTCAGTCTGTGACTTCGTCTACTATGGTCTCCCCTCCCGCCAGTCGATTCGGCGGCCCTGAAACCTCTGGATTTGGCACGCCTTCTCAGGCGGCTACCAGTGACTATGGACCTCAGTCAGTGGCAGATTCTAGTGACTACAGCCGTGCACCAACCTCAACTCTTGAAGGTACCCCGGCACGATCTCCGTTTGAGGAGGAAGGGCAAGACGCCTCCGCTAGGTCCCCTGAGGTCCCAGCCGCAACCGCTCAGCAGCCGCAACCTGCAGCATCCGCTGTCGCCAATGAGAGCCAGGTCGAAGCCAGCAAGGACCTAAGCTTTGATGAACTGTTTGGAAGCAAGGCCCACAAGCGGTCAGAATCCCAGCAAGGTAACGACTTTGAGGAGGCGTTTGCTTCTATGAAGCAACCTGGAGCTCAGCAGACAAATGGAGCTGCATCAGCCCGTCCATCCGAATTCCCCCCGATCCAAGAGCTACACCATGACGACGAGGATGATGAGAGCTCCGACGACGAGGGTCCTCTGGGGTTCGATGACAATTTCACGCCTGCTGCACCAAATGCCAAAAAGACTCAGCAGGATTCCATTGACGCTGCTCAACTGGCTGCTTTCCCTGTCCCTGGAACCTCAAACAAACCCCCGTCTCCTGGGGCACTACAGAGCCCCCCAGCGTACGAAGCTCCTAAAGAAGATAACGTTCATCTTCCTCCTCAATTCAATGGCCTTTTGCCTGAGCGCGCCGATCCCACCATGGCACCTGATGCGCCTCATTCAGTGGAGCACGCCACTGGTGCGCCAGTCGTAAGCAGCGAGACCCAACGAGACTCTATCTCGGATGCTGCCATCCCGTCCGGTGGAGCGAAGGTGGGAGGGCCGGACTTTGAGGCAGCCTTCGCGGGAATGAACCTTGCCCCCGCAGTCGAAGCAGATGATGATGATGACGACGACGAGCCACAGAGTCAGGAAGCCAAAAACACGACCGACTTTGATTTCTCTTTCGACACTCCGTCCCAGAAGCAGCAGGCTGTCTCCGGTGCCGATGTTGACCAATCCAGCTCCTCTCAGTTCTTCGCTTTCGACAACAATGTTCATGCGTCCGCCGCTCCGCCTGTCGGATCGCCCAACGAGGGAGAATCCAAACCGGCTGCGCATGAATGGGACGCGCTCTTTGCGCCTCTTGACAATCCCAAGCCGGACACCGGCGAAAACTCGAACGGAGCGAAATCCAAGCAGCCTGGATGGGCTCTGAACAACGACTCTGGCGAAGATGACCTGATCCTTCAGCGGTTGACCGGCATGGGATTCACACGTGATGAGTCGTTGGATGCCTTGGAGAAGTATGACTACAACCTTGACAAGGTAGGTTTTCTTTTCGCGTTCGGTTTTGCATGATACTAACTAAAGCCCAGGCTGCGGACCACTTGACTTCAAAGACTTGATTATGACACCGTCCCTTTCTCACTGCACATATCTCCTACATACTCTTTCCTTTTGCGCCTATGTCTCATTCCTTGATGGAAGCCCTGGGCCTGATGACCAATCTACCAGTGGCCTCCTTTGCATCGACGTTTCCACCCGTTTGTCCAGCGCTGTGTATATCGTTTCCTCTTCTTTTCATTTCCTTTCCTTATGTTGCACGTTCACCTCCTATGGAATCGGCTCCTTGCCCAATGGTGTTGGCCCGGAACCAAGGACTTTGGTGTGTCTTGTTCTCTCTGTGCCTGTGTAGTGTAGTTTACAATAATCCATAATTGAGTTATATATTTTGATCTCTTTTGACATAGTTACAAAGATACCTCGGAGTACCTTCTTCCACTTCCTGTCTTTCACTTCCGTTTCAGTTCTCAGGTCTTGCCGCTTTTGCCCGACGCCGGGGTCGCTCCTTCCCCAACGCGGTCAAAAGCCGGGGACAACAACCCCCCCGACCCATGTAATGCCGTTCCCAAGTCACGTTCTTCACCACATTTCCTATTTCAATACGGAATAGACTCTCATAATTGGCATCTTGCTTGTCCACTCCGAACTTGCTCTTTAACAATCTCAGTTAACTGCACCGCGGGGCCGTCCTAAAATACGCTTAAACCAACCATGAACGAAGAAATTACAAAATTAAACTCGAGCCCATAGTCAAGCACGAATGCTCCGTACCCAAAGATCACTAGTCAGCTGCTCCCTGGCTTGGCGAGGAAAACAGAACTCTGGTCCGGATGGCTCCGTCTCAATTATACCTATATGGATGAATCCGATGCATACTACACTGCTTTGGCCCTTGATCGGGTGAAATACGCTACTCCATTGACGCGTTGTAGCTCGATTTTGTTAATCCACGGCACGTTCTTAAGTCGACTCTCGCGATACTTTTTGACAATGTTGTCGATTGTTCCCTCTTTGATTTTCCATCTCGTTGGCTTGGTTCTGCGCGGGTGACCTTCACGAGCTATTCTACAAACTGTAATTGACCAGATTGCCTTCCAAGGTTGGCCGAAATAACCGTTTATCAACTAATCAACCAGCTCTTGTCGGTGACTGGGAATTATCCGAGTTTGCCAAGTCACTTCAAGACTGCAGTACAGAAGCTTCTCAAGCCATTCTAAGTGGTTTGGCGTTGTTCACCGCAGCCCGCTGTGTGCCTGTGTGGTGCCAGCATGAATCTTTGCGGCTGAAAAAATCCGTGGCATCTGTGCAAAGTTCCACATCAAGACATTTTAAGTTTGCGGACACTGAGGTCCCCAGGGATACCTTTTTCCGACTTCACACGAAAGAAAGCTGAGGATCGCCAACTCGCATCCGTTTTCTACAAAGATCTCCACAAGCTCGTATCGAAAAAAAAGTTGCTAACGGAGGCTCTGTACGAGGCTGAGCGGAGCGGAAAATTGCGATCGACAGGGTTGTGGGAAACGAATCACAAAACGGGTGTACTATTTTCCTTGGCAAGAGATCTACGACCATTCGATCTATTTCTGTACTAATGGGACCCTAAGATCATCTTAAATCATCTTAATCTGTATCCGTGCAGTGCTCGTATTCGAACTATAAAACCCTGCGCCAAGTCACCCACGACCCGTATCTTCAACCCATCTCGTGTTTTTTTTAGCGATCCCAACAGCTTATTGGTTACCAAGGACTTTGGCACCTCCTTTTGGAGACAAGTTGTGGAGGATACGGGATCTGTTTCATGGCGGCTAAAGAAGAGCCCCCATTAAGTGGGAATGGAAACGAGGTGAGCCCCTATATAGTCTCCCTCAGAGCCACAAGGGCATGGAGTTCTGTAACCACTCGCTCATTTCTTTTCGCTCTTTACAAGATTTCATATAACAGCCTCCACGGCCACCGCTTTAACTATTTCCATTTAATATAATCCCTCCTGCATCATCATGCGTTTCTCATCTCTCGCCGTCTTGTCTCTGGCCTCTGTCGCCGTCGCCGCCGATCTCAAGACCTGGGACCAGGTCGTGGGCGACGTACCCTCCTGCATCAAGACCTGTCTCAACGACTTCTACACCTCCGCCGGTATCGAAGACAAGTGCGGTAGCCCTGATACCGCCGACGTTAACTGCATCTGTGGTATCGGTGGTTCGGTTTCGGACTACCAGGACGATGCCTCCGAGATGAGCACATGTATCCAGAAAGGCTGCGAAAGCAGCGAACTCATGGACGCTTCTACTAAGCTCCGGGGCTTCATGGAGCGCTTCCAGAGCCTCGATGGTCAGTGCGAAGGTAGCTCTAGCTCCAGCTCCAGCTCTAGCTCTAGCTCTAGCTCTGGCTCTAAGAAGGGTACGTTGCTCGCGCATCTCCAGTTTCTTTCAATCATTTATGGGGGGAATACGAATACTAATTATCAACTGTATAGGCTCCTCCGACTCCTCCGACTCCTCCGACTCCGACTCCTCTGAGTCCTCTGAGTCCTCCTCTCAGTCTGAGTCCAACGGTGCTGGCTCGCTGGTCCCAGGATTCAACGCAATGATCGCCTCTGGTGCTCTGCTTTTGGTCGGCGCCGCCTTCTAAATTGATTCACCATAGTTTCAACGTTGTGGACTCGAGATCAGACATAATCTAATATATCAGTCACTTATTTAATACAACTTTGTCTGGTCGTGCATAACAACTCTCATAAAAGCGCCGAGTAGAGAACCGCAAATCAACAGATCAAGCTATGAACTAGGATAGCCAGATACTTACATTATAGGAGCACGGAATGTTGACAATCCCGTTTGACCAAAAAGCCTACAATTGCAGTGATCGAGAATCTTTCTAGTACTTTTTTTCTTCGACGAGAACACTGGAATTCTACGGTCACTCTATGTTGGGCGAACTTTTCAGGCTGATTGATAGATAAATTGTATGGAACAAGTATCAAGAATCCCAATAATAATTAGAGGAATGGGTTCGATCGAAAAGAGTTCGGGATCTCCGCGGGTCCGTCCCGATCGGACGAAAAGGGGAAGCAGTCACACATGTCGGTATCAGCCGACACAAACCTGGTGGAGTTATAGTTCAATATATGTGCGATAACAGTAGACTGGCAAGCCTTTCCCGATATGAGCTAAAATAAGATCTGATGATCTGAGTGAATATAAGGGCTCTATGCTTTGTGCGAACTATTGCGAACTACTAAAGGTGGACACCACCCAGACTCGCGGTAAGAGCGTTTGTTTAAAATCCAGGCACATTTCAGATCATTGGTTCGTTTATATGGCGCAACGTTGCTTGATCCTTGTCAAATCGATCACGATTGGCTGGTCTGAGCTATCACATTGTTCAAGACATACAACTTCATCGTCATCATCAAGGTCGATGAGCCTATTTAGGGCCAAAAACTCTTAAAATAGCGTGATTCTGCTACATAGCTTTTGTAATGTGATTGTTAATTCTTTGATATCGAATACAATTCATCGATTCACTCGTTGCAAGTCTCGCAAGTCTTTAATGCGCAAAATCACGTCATTCGGGCCAAAGAATACTCATCGACACAACGTGATATCGCGAACTTTATCTTCTGTCCGAATATTCAAATAGACGAGAGTTCGCAAATTCTCCTCACCATCTACGTTATGGTTTGAGACCGCTATGTCACACTCTCCTGAGGAGCTCAAGGGGATCGCCATTGCAGGGCGAGTCTCTTCAGTCCTCTCTATTCTAGGTTCATTCACAATAGTCGGCGCCTTTTCTCTTTCTCGGCATTTCCGGAGCCCTATTCATCGTATAATATTCTTCAATTCCTTCTATAATCTGTTCGACTCTGTCGCTACCATGATATCCACTAGTGGACCTGCAGCTGGAGATACTTCATCGCTATGTCAATTCCAAGGCTTTGCTCTTCAGATGTATGTTATTGGTATTGGACATTTGTCTAGGCAATGTTGTGTTCAAGGCGATGCTGACAAGAAGAAAAAATAGGTTTCCAGTAGCTGACGTGCTCTGGACATTCGCAATGGCCTTGGATACATACTTGGTTGTCTTCCATCATTTTGATACTCAATCTTTGCGCAAGCTCGAACCAAAATACATTGGCGTTATTTCTATTCTCTCATTCATCCCTGCCTTTGCCTTCCTCTTCATCCGTGGTGGTGAGAAAGGTCCTATTTATGGTGACGAGACCGTGAGTATTATCGACTTGAAGCTAAACATGTCGTGAGCCTAATTCAATTTCCATAGATCTGGTGCTCAATAGCTCGCAGTTGGATGATCCTCCGCATAATATTCTACTATGCACCCGTATGGTACGTATACTCCAATTCGCTGCTCAACCACTCTTCTAATGTTTACGCAACAGGCTGATAATAGTCATCGTCCTAATACTATATTGTCTCATCGGTATCGAGATAACGCGAGTTCGCGACGAGTTCAAATTAAGCGATGACGATCATATCGCGCTGACTGGCAATTCTGCCAGCAGCGTCACGACCGTGGAAGCGAATTCCCGGAAAAAACCAGCTTTCACCCCGGAATCTACTATAACAAGCGATAACACGGACCAAGATACCTTCCAGCATCCTCTATCTAGAAAAGCCCCGGCAACATATCAAACTCCGCAACAGAGACGTGTGTCACTGAGACAATACGTGATCATGCCATCGCTTTTCTTCCTTGCGATGTTAGCAACGTGGATTGCACCTACCATCAACCGTATCTCGGAATTCGTGCATCATAAGCATGGAACATATTCACTTCTGCTCGCTGTGAGTACATTGGGGTCCCTGCGTGGGTTTTGGAATGGTGTTATTTTCATAACTATCGGGATGAAGGGATGGAAGAGACGAGCTTCGCAGAGGAGAATGGCTCTTAGACAGGTAAGATTGTTCTTTTCCCCCTATCTCTTCTATCGCCTCAATTGAGTAGCCGCTGACTTCACTGTATTATAGATTAGGAATGGTCGTGGGTGATGTGGATTCCACGCCTTCGTTCTACATGTTCATAATGATACCCTAGTTATTTTATAGAATATAACCCCGTGTTAATATGCAACTCCTTTTATCTGATTCGTTGGAACAGCTTGGGAAACTATCACGGTTACCGCATTGATCGATTGCCCTCAATCACTTTGATATTCTCATGGACAGGTACCCAGAAGAAAATATTTGTACTAAATTAAATGAGCTTTAATCATGATTGCGCTGCTATTTGGCTTTTGAGAACCATGCCCACAGTTTTGGGTCTGCAATGAACATGCATTTCGAGAACGATTCAAACATGGTCTATAGCGAAACCCCCAATTTGAGACCACCGTGAGACTCGTGCCACTGTGAAATCTATGGTATTGCTAAAATAATCTTTCTCCGATCTGCGAATCTCAGCAATTGGCCTATCCTCCGCCTACATCTTTTCATACAATCGCACATAATATGAAAAAGAATATCTGAGAATACTACTAAAAAAATCTCCAAAAAAGACTACCAAAGACTACCAAACATCTTCATACAACCGCCCAGTATTCTTCTATATGATCTCCGGAACTCACCCGTATTCCAAAAAAAGATCCAGATCTCAAATTCACAAATCCCGGAGAGTAGCGACAATACTATCTCTGAATCTACCATTCCCCCATCTCAAACTGCCCAAATGTAACGCAGGAATTTCAACGAGCCTTCTTCCATAATTGCCCCCCATGCGCCAATGCAAACAATGGGGAAGTCTTCCTCGCTGGGTCTTCGAAAAATAAGCTACAGTTCATGAATTGGCCCTTGGTAGTAACAGAAAATACCATTTGTGATATAACATCAGACAAGGGGGTCTGTATTGAGCCATCGCTGGCTTCGGAACTTTCTTGGCTTTGTGAATCCAAGGTTTACATATATTTCAACTCCAAAAGATTATGGACGATCCGAAGCGCCGTAGAGCCGCCAAGCGCAGCTTGGCTTTGTGCCTAGTAGAGATTTCCGCCAGTTACACAGGACTTTGCTTCCACTATCCAAAGGGGAATCGAAGGCCTGAGGGGGTGACATTTGGATTGCTGATGAGACTAGTGGTATATTGCAAGTCTAACAAAAGACTTAGGCTACATTCAATATTGGTGCTCTTTGCAGCTTGGCGGCTGCGATACGTTGTTCCTGCGACCCGAGCCAGCTGCCAATGAATGCTAGTTGCAATTGGGCAGTAACTGTTCAATGTGAAGATGGTGTCGAGTGGGCCATGCCGTCAACCAGATCCCATTATAATCAATTCCCGAGTTGAATTGAGCAGGCAACTTCTTGCAAGTGAGGCTGCAACGCTAAAGTGCCTCGGACAGGTTACGTTACGGATATTCCTATCCCAGTGGTTTACTCGTATAGGTAGGAACATATAATAGCACAATTTCGATCTATTTATTGATATTTGCATCCTCCAAAATTCCAATAGGTGTTCCCTATATCTTAATGAGCACGGCGCAAGGATGGCCTCTCAAAACGTCTGAGCAACCAATTCTTCAGTAGGCGGTCTGAAACAAGCCAATAAAGAAGGGGTCATGTTCCAACTAGCTCAAATTACGTGAAAACTTGCTCAGGTTCGTTTCGACTGCATTAGTTCGCTTTTCGAAGAGAACTATAGTGTCAAGTTAGGGGAACGCATGTCTTGAGGTCATATTCTCCACCAACGTTATTCGTTAGACGACTCACTCTTGCGTCTTTTTCGCACCCTCTGGAATTTTGCGACAGAGACTGAGTTCCACAGCAGTCTCAAACTGCCTACATAACGCAAAGTCCCTCCCTCTTAAACCCCACTGTTTCGTTGCTCCTATGCCTTCTCGCGACAACGGAAACGATGCTGCCTATATAGATAGATGCCTCTAATCTTTAGAACCCTTTACGGACATTAGAGACAAGATTGATCGGCGCACAAATGACTACCCAGCGTACACTTTAACAGACCCATTTTCTCTCCATCACCCTAATTTAAGCATCAATAACGTTTCTATCGACGATCATTTCAAGATCATATCAATAATCCATTGGTCATCTTGTTCTTCCGTCCCGCTTACGATCCTATTAGCCCCTCCTCGGCTTCCCCAATCCCGGCGTGCACTTAACGTGGACTTTATCAAGGTCTTCAGAAAGGGGTATAAGGAAGCGTCCCGCTCAAATTGTCATAGAGAAAGTCAGTCGTTTCTTTCTTCCGACGTACTCGCTATTCTAGAGGATAGCGAGTTTTCCTGGTCTCTTATCAGACTTCTTACCTTCGATTCGACCGATAATTTGCGTCTTTTCCGCGCCCTCTGGAATACAGTACATGGCCCTGGCTACAATATCGAGTCTTTTATTACCTCAGAGAAACAGTTACCCCATGCTTTTCAGATACCTGCATAAAATATTTTGGCTATGTTTTTTACTTCGGTATAGGGCTGGGCTCGCATTTACTTGTAAGGAGAGAAGCTATACTAGGTAGAATGTTCGAAGTTGATGACCGTATAATAATTTTAGATTCGATTGTCAATTGACTTTTCCCCAGTTTCCAGGCAACCTAATTTCCCCTGACTGTCCACGGCTACAATACTCCATAACCTTGAAAAGATAGTAGTATTACATATACTCGGTTAGACAGGCAGCCCTGTTCTTTATCCTGTTGCCTAAATAGGGCTGGACGAGGGCATAGTAACCGATACTAATTAGGGAAGTGGTCCTGAAGGGAGAACCCCACAGCCAATCAGCATGTAGAATATATCCGGTATGCACTACTTAAGCTTTTGTTGGCGGCCATGCAAAGCTTGGCTTCAGGCTTAACCTTCCAAGGTTTCATTTGGCATTTTGAGTGTCATTGTCAATCTACTTGTTCAAGAGAACTCGAGTTATATTTTTCCATCAAGTGGCTTAGTCCAATTAATGTATAAAGATTCATTTCGATGTAAGACAATGAAAAGACTCAGTTGCCAAGGCAGAATCAGCTTGGTGTAACTTCCTAGGTATATCCCGTGGGGCTGAGTCTACCATAGACCAAGTGAAACATTTCACAGCTCGTGGCAATTTAGCGTAGGCGGTTCAGTTTCTATGGGTTTTGCGGGGTCTACTATCTACAGCCATGGGGCCCTGAGGTCGTTGCCCTACACTCGATCCTCGCTATTAATTCCCTCCCAATTCTCTTCCACAACCTTTCCGATCACCTCAACTGTCCCTGACGCGTGCTTCCAATAACGCGTATCAAAAGCTTTGCTTTTCATTCTTTTCATTCTTAAACACTGTCATTTTTCTTTATCACTTCCTGTCACTTCTCTGTTTTGTTTCAAATCCATTCGCTTGTCAAAGAAACCTCCATGGAGCTTCTCGCACGACACCCTCGTACAATACCTCTGGGTACAAAGGATCTCGGTCCAATCTCCGATTTGGCCCCATTTTCCGCCTTGATCATCTCCATTGTACTGGTTATATTCTTCATTGCTCGATTCTATGTCCTCGAAGGATTTCTCATCCGTCGTCTGTATGGCCCCGTGTATACAAATATGAGTGAGCTAAACCGTCGTGGCTTCGTGAATCACCACATCGCCGGTGTCACCAAGCTAATCATTCTGATTGTTGCCGCATACCCGTTTGTCAGTGTCGCTTTCTGCAAAGGGCCGTCATTCAACACGCCCTTCGTCAAAGGCTCAGTAGTGACACTGGGAGACATCCTGATTATTGTGGCCCAAATGTTGATTGGGATATACATTTTCGAGCTGATCTACCGCATGAAGTTGTCACCCGTGGCCGTGATGCACCACATTGGGACAATCTTTATTGGCCAAGCGGCCATAGCGATCAGTCTACGACCGTTACGCGAACCCGATGCGTACATTGAGTTTGTTCTCTGTACTGTCTGGGGTAAGTATATAGCGCTCTAGTCTGGCGGCTAAATGAAAGATCAAAAATACTAATAAAGTCGGGGTCTAGGCGCATTCGATACCGTGTTCGAGTTGTTTCCCCACGTTGCCATAATCCTCTACCGTATCTTCCCCAAACAGCACCACCTCCTCAGCAGGATCTTCCTCGTCTCCTGCTTCTCAACCGCATTGGGGACAGTCACCGAGACAGTTGTGACGATGTGGCTGTTTGGAAGCACATGGGACCGGTGGCGTCTTGCCTTCAAAATTGTCACGCCGGTCCTGCATATAGCGTTCTCCGCGGCCCAGGTACACGGCAGTCTTGTGTTCTGGCGGATGTACCGCCGACAAAAGCGCTTCGAGAGGGAGGCTGACGCCGAAGCCAAGGATGGCTATGTCGGCGGAGAGGGCTTTATAAATGATTTTCAATATCAAAGCCAGAGCGGGCGGATTACGGAGGGGGAGGGCAATTGTGGCCTGCACAATGTGGAATCGGGGGTCCCGCTTGTTGATGCTGCTGAGAAGGCACGTTAGGCTTCTGTATGTGTGGGTTATTTAGGGCAGCGAGCACACTCATGTACTAGTATTTATTTCACTCTTTTTCGAGGCGAGACTTCAAATCCTTGCCCTGTTTTGTGTAAATCAATTGAATTCAGGTTGAAGAATGAGTCAGAGAATGCTTCTAGCCGACACATTTTCGATCTTGAAGGCGATGCTCGAAAATGACGACACCGTTCCTGATCTTGTGCATTACATATGTAGTATGGACAGATTCTTCTTCGCTATAGCGACATCATTATATAGCCCTAACCCTGATGTGGACGGGAAGGAATAGGACATTTTAATAACCAAGACCAAACCGCCACTGTTCCAGAAAATTCTTCTCAAGATATTTAGAACAGAACCGTCCACTTGGAAATCTGAGTAGGCTTTTGCGGCAACGGACAGGAAAGCCAATTGGTTGTAGTATTTTTCTCACGAATATCCACTGCTGATCTGTTTTATGGTTAACAAGTTCTCTTTAGTGTAAGTCTCATACATATGTATCTATCGGGTTCATGCGCAGAGCTAATAGAATTCCATCTGAAGATCAGTAGCAACAGCTAGCTTCCTAGTCGGCATACTGAATAGAGATGATCTCCACATCGGCAGGGTCTTTTAGGGCAAGGTTAGAAGGCTCTGGAAACTGGAACCTTCGAGCAATCAGACGCTTAGTCCGCGCACAGTCGGTCCGGTGGTTAGTTTGCTCGAGGATTTCAGGGCGGTGGCGGTGTCCAGGCTGCGCCTCCACCCGTGAGAACACACAAAATGTACATGGAGGTAAATGTGGTGCCGTAGGTTACCTGCAGAGGCACACAGTATGTATATAGCCAATTTAGCTGTATATGGTCAGTGAAGTCACATCACTTGGATTGTATCCTTGACTCGATGCATTCATATCCCTCCACTTGCTGCAAAATCCATGAAACCTGCAACTATTCTGGATTGGCGAGACTGCGTGCTGGTTATAAAGCTGTAGGTCTTCCGTGTGTGACATGAACATTGAATAGCTCCATTCGTGAGAATCTCTCGGGTCGTCGCTGCCTTGTAGCATACTCGTTCCTTCAATTTTCGAGCTGATAAACGCGAGAGACAATGCGCGTGCCTCCCAAATATGACGTAACGCGACTCGCGTTGCCTGCAAGGCAGCGCGTTTTACGCGATTGACGCGATTGTCAAGCGAGTCTCCAAAGACGGTTGCCAAGTCTTCTTAAGCTTCGAGGTATTGTCGTCACCACAATAACCAGTCCAAAATTGATACCGTATCAAAAGGCTCTTAGCAACATACAATAGCAGGAATGGAATCAAGATAATCTGGTAAAAATTAAGGTCTGTTAATCACAGTTCAGCGTCCGATAATAATAGAACGATGCAGGCAGGACCTAGTGGTCTCCTCATGAGAAACAAGACTTCATCCGATTTCCATCCCTCCTTCACATGATAAGATCATTAAAATGCATCCATCAGAGGCATCCCCATTGATCATCATCATCATCATCATCATCAGTTCATCATCCTTACTTGTAGAACTTGGGGGTTTCAAACCACCACTAACTGCTCGTCTCATGCTGTCTGGCCATTCGCTGCATGTTAAGACCTGTGATCGGTTAGTTACCCATGCCAAAGACGTGAGGAAGAATCGAGTCACTGCTAACTTACCGAAGTCTTCCCACGAGCGCTCTCTGTCCCTCTTCCGAGGGCCTTTGCCATGCATAACGTTATCAAACCTTTCTGAGTTATGCATCACGGTGTACGCCAGTAAGTTCACACATGCTACCCCAGAGGAAAGAACCCATACACGGACGATGGTTAACCAGGACGTGGCTTGGCAGAAGGCACCGAATGCGGCCATCAAGGTTGCGGTAATATTGACAGAAAGCACGGCGACGAGAAGGGCAAAAGATGGGCAGTTCGCCCGGTGCGATCTCGATCCAGATCCATCGACACGAGTTATCAGAATCAACCAGCTTTGGGTCAGAGCAATCTGCAGGAATAAGACCCCGTTTCGTGAGCCCCCGCCTTCGATAACACCTCCGTCTTCGCCTTGCAGCAGCATGGTGCCCAAAGTCACCCAGGTGCCGACTGCAAGAATGAACCCTAGAACAATTGATTCTCCCCAGAGTCTGGGCTTGTTCCACTTGACAGGAGACTGAGAATAAGTCGCATTGTCATATGCAATGGCCAAGGTCGCAATGTCGGCAAAGATAGCGAGAAGAACAACCAGGCGGAGGTCGAGGGTCTCATTCTTGATCACCATCCAGAGTCCGAGGAAGAGCTCCAAGTGAATGGACAGGGCGATCCGGAATACCACGTATGAGTACATGCGGCGGAAGATCCGGCGAGCGATCTTGATCGCCTCGATGATTGCGGACAGACCAGGTGCCAGGAAGACAATGTCAGCAGCAGAACGGGCCGCATCGGATGCGCCCTCCACCGCAATTCCCGTGTCCGCCTTCTTCAACGAAGGAGCGTCATTGACACCATCACCGGTCATTGCCACCAGATAGCCGCGTTGCTGGAGTATGTCAACCACACTGTACTTGTGCTGGGGGTAGACTTCTGCGAAGCCGTCAGCGGCCTCAACAAAGTCATTCACTTCCGAGCCAGACATGGAGCCGGCACCAGTGACACCAAGGCGTTCAGCGTTGTAAATGTTGGTTCCCAGACCGAGTCTACGTGCCGTTTCGCGCGCAATGGCCACCGCATCCCCAGTGAGCATCTTGATAGAGAGTCCCAGGCCTTGGGCCTCGGACACTGTCTTAGCAGTGTCATGGCGTGGGGGATCCAAGCATGGCATGATTCCCAGAATCTCCCATGGCCGTCCTTGACGCTTGCGGGCGACACCGAGTGCACGGAATCCTCGGCTAGCAAACTCATTGACCTTAGCCTCATACTCATTGCAAAACGGCTCGCAGAGTGTCGTCTCCTTCTCCACTGTTCTCAGGATGGTCATAGGAGCACCCTTCATACAACGGACCCTCTCACCATTCAGAGCTTGCATATAGGCAACGACCTTCTTTGACACTGGATCAAATGGAGAGAAATCGAGAGTCTTGTACGAGGTGATCTGAGACCTGGCCCACGCGAAGTGGCGGAGACCTTTGAGGAATACTTTGTCGATAGCATCGATCCCGCCCTTCTTTCGATTGGCCGCAAGACATGCAGTCAGCATGATTTCTTCTGCACTCATTCCAGGGGCTATATATGGATCTCCCAATGTCAGCTTGTTACGGGTGAGTGTTCCCGTTTTGTCTGAACAGAGAATCTCCACTCCAGCCAACGACTCGATAGCTTCGAGCTTTTGCACGATAGCCTTGTGTTTGGCCAGATAAGCTGCACCAACGGCCATTGTTGTCGTGACAACCACGGGAAGACCAACTGGGACTCCAGTGACGGTGACTGCGAGCGAGAACTCAAGTATCTGGACGATCGGATTTGAGCGATAATAACCGCTGATCCAGACAACCAGCAGGGTGAGAAGTACCAGAATCAGAAGGACCCGCGACATTGCGTTCAGGACCCGAGTGAAGTGGCCTGTGGTATTGCCTGCCTTGTTCACCAGGACGGCTGCATTTCCGACAAATGTATGGTCACCAGTGGCAGTCACAACCATGAACCCATCCCCACGTTTGACTGCCGAGGAGGCAAAGATAACATCTCCTTTGTGCTTATCCACGGCGAGGGATTCCCCCGTGATTCCAGACTGATCAACCTGAATGCAGGTGTCGTCGTCGCATACCAGTCTGCCATCTGCCGCAACGATTGTGCCCTGAACGAATATTAGCGTCAAAATATTTCCCCCTTTTTTTTCAAATCGCCATGAACTCACATCGTCCACGTGAATGATATCACCAACCACGACCTCTTCAGCACCTATCTCCACCATGTAACCGTTGCGAATGACCAGAGCTCTCAGGGCAAGAGTATTCCTGAGGCTATCGACAATGTTGCCCGCCTGGTATTCCTGAGCAAATGCGACAACGGCATTCAATATGAGCAGGGCAAGGATGATTCCGAAATCTATCCAATCCCGCAAGCAGGCGGCTAGGACCATGGCGACCTGGAATTGAGAAAGCATTGTGAGTACATGCATTTTCCAACCACGTTATAATGATTAATGATGAATAGTCTTGCTTACCTCCATGACCCACTGGACCGGGCCATTGAAGAAGGAAAGGAACTTGAGAAAGTGGTTCCGTTTCTGTTCCTTCATGCGATTCCAGCCATACTTCTTGCGCCGAAGGACCACCTCTTCATCGTCGAGGCCCTCGTCGACCTTAGTCTCTAGCAGAGCAGGAGGGTATGGGGGAATTTCCCCGGCGCGGATAGTGATTGCGTCCACGTCAGGTTCGTTTCCATCTTCGGCCTCCAGTTCAGCAATGAGGCGATCCAGATATTCTTCGCTCTCTTCGTGGGAAGATGTAGTGGGTTTCAGTGTCTCTGGAAGAGAAAATTCGTCATTTTCTCGAACAGGAACGACGCAGTCTTTGTTCTCGCTGATAACGGAAGCATGCGATTCCGATTCGGAAGCCACGTTGGGACCAATTTGAGGATCGTCAGGCGGGGGTGGAGTCCTTCTGACACGGCCGCGTCGATCTTCTTGGGCCCTGGCACCAGCAAGCAAACTGGAACGAAACAGTTTAACTTGATCCTTTTGTTCGGCTACCAAGCTGTCGCGCTGTCCACTGTCATCCTGTTCAATGGAAGAATCATCCTCCAGGCTATTGTTCAGGCTGGCACGAAACTTGTTATATTCCTCTTTGTGCTTGGATTCTTTGGAATCATCGTGCTGCGTTTGACCGTTGTCATGCTCTCGCTCTCCCGGAACGGCGAACTTGTTCGAGTGGAAAGGAGATTTGTCGAGACGCTTGGGCAGGAAAGGCTGGCCTGCGCTAAGATCCGAGTCCGAACGATCCAAATAGCCAGTCGAGGAGTTTGGGAGAAACCCAAGCCTACTGGTCTGGATAGGAGGCAGCTCGCAATGGTCCCGTCGCTTGAAAAGACTGACAGGTTGGTTCTGTTGCTGGTTCTGTTCCTGGGAACGGCCCTGTGGCTGGCTTTCAAACAGGCTTCCACATGGCGGAGTAATAACAGCACGGCCACCTTCCTTGTCGGTGACGCCTTGAGCCAGAGGCTTGACTGGCGGATGACTCCTGAGCGGCGTGTTCCGTTCATCCATCATGTCAGACTTGGGTCTGGCCATGATGGCGAAACGGCAGTAAAGACTGAAAGAAATCAGCAAACTGTCAAACAACGAAACATGTACAATGCACGCATTCATGCAAGAAGTGTGAGCCGATACATGATCGATCTGATACAACAAAATGGGATGAAACATGGGCGGGAAGGCACAGTGAGAGGTCGCTGCCTCTCGGAACGACACACCCGGCTCTCAACAGAGAAAAGAATCACAGCCCAGGAATATACTTACAATAAAGAAGTGGTTTATGCTCTGGCTTCAGCAGATGTGATGAGAGAAGGTGATGAGGAATGAACCTGGAGAAGGTGTTGCGAGAGTTGCGAGGAAAAGAATTGGAAACGCCGAGGATCGAGGTACTTATGCTGAAGGAACGACCCTCGACGACGACAACAACAACTAGGTGCCAACCACCCTCGAGAACACATGATTCATTACACAAGCCTGCCTACGCCTGCCTTCGCTTTGTTCTGTATACACTGTGCTATACAGAATGAACTAATACTGTGAATAACTGGCTCTTCCTTTCAAATATGGGAATTCATCGAATCTACGGCAATGGGGACTCATGGTACCGTCCAATTACACGGTCGGAAAAGATACGCCAGATTAGCAGAGCCTGAGATGAGTTTCCAGGCTACGGTGTTGAATCATGAAGTCCTTGGTTATTGGGCCAGCCCCAGCGCGGCCTATAAAGTGCGCCAATTCGCAGTGGAAGGTGTACATATCGCCTTATCGTAGCCTAAAAAGGCTACGATAAACCGATCCCTAACAACATTGATGAAAACATGCACAGGATGATTCGCGTCGCGTCGCCTGCATGCTACCCCCTTCAGATAAGAACTCCTACAAGAGCTACAATCAAACCGTGCTGCTCCCATTTGGAATTCAGTCAATGGCACTGCGTGCATTTCCCATCCATGGATGTATGGACTATTCGTTTCTAGGTATCGGGTACAATTGGAAAGCGCGATCGTCGATATCATCAATTGATTCAGCACAATATTGAATCTGGAAAATCAAAAACTGTGTTTATTTTGGGGCTCATCTGTGTACATATCTTCGGGCACAATCGAAGTTGAGCTAAAACAGACAATAACAACAACAATGTTTGGTGTAGAGATGTAGTTCTTTTTAGGGTATAAAATTGTGGCCTGAGGCATTGAAAGGTTAACTTGACATATTACATAATCTCACGTCACTCCCGAGCCTTTCACTTGGGCAGATTCAAATGTCTGCAGTGACAACTGCGTGTGTAATTCATTATCTCCCTCGTCTCATATGATTATCTAAATAGACTTGTTTTTGTTTATGTTTGTCTTTGTGTTTGTTGAAGGTTGAATCCACTATGGTTGTTCGTTTGTGCTAGACACTCGAAAAGTGGAAGTCCCATGACCATCTCAATACCTTGAACATAGCTGGAGTATTTTCCCTCTCTGTGCATTCGCCCTGTTCTTTTCATTTTCAATATCGCATGTCATCAGCAACCATGGCTCCTGAAATCCCAGGGTTCTATTATGGTATGTCTGTTTTGATGCGTTTCTTCCCTTCTGCCGAGGTACGCGAGGGCAGTACGTAAAGGTGCTGCTGTGTGCCAGTCACATACTGTATTGTACTGTGAGCCTTTGGCTACTCCTATATACGCGCAGTGGTCAACTACCCCACAACGCACACCCACTCCTGTGTCAACTCATACTGACTATCACAGACCCGGAGAAGAAGAAGTACTTCAAGATTCAGGCCAACCATGCTGCACTTCCAAATGCACAATACTCACAGCAAGCCGTGAAGCGAAAGCGGTCTGAGCTGACGGTAACTAAGAGGAATCTGTGTGCATCATTACATTTGCTAATCAATTGTAGAAACGTGAAAACAAGACACGATTCAGACGACGTGAGAATAAGGAGACGATCCGAAAGGCTGCATCGTTGAAGCACCCCTTGGTGAATCTGCAAAGAGAGATTGGAGCCATTGTATCCTCCCGTGCCAGGCAAGAACAGCAGGCTCGCATTCAAGCCAGCCAACTGCACCGTGGGGAACTTCACCGTTTTGAGCCATGGCCTAACTCGTACAGCATCCGACATGTCTTGCGCAACCCACGTTCTGGGACATTGATTGCCGGTGAGTTTCATCGGCTTTTATGATCCCGATACGTGGCTAACATGCATGACAAGGCTCGGCTCGCGGATATGAATCGTCTGTATCGTAAGTTGATGGGCATGTGGCTGTCGAATGTCAACGACTTCTAACCAAAGAATAGGGTCTGTTTCCCTGACATTGACGAGTCACAGTGGAGCTATGATCACACTATGGAACGGGTATTATTCAGAGAGCCGTACTGGGTGAGCAAATTCGTCCCAGCACTTCGTTCCACTGAAGGCACGTTTAACTCCCTTCTAGTTAGGATCAATGTCTCTGAGTCACTCGGGCTACCTCCTGTATGTCTCCGTACAAGACTATATGATAGACTCACGGCTAACAGCTCCAGTGCAACAATGAACGAAGGACCTCAAGGTGACTGCTTCCTTTCGGCTCATCTCCTCCCAGAGCCCGACGAAGGCGGCAACTACCGCTGGCCAACATGTACGATTCCACATGTATCTCTATTCCCGGACACCGCGCTTACCCAAGGTCCTCCAGTCTCTCACCCGATTCGGATCAGACCCCACTACCCGATGTCCTTCTGGTGCTCCGCGGCACAGCCCGCAGGATCAAGTGCCCACTTCGCCATAGGAACGTCAGAAGGGCTCCACACCCTGGAAGGTACTAGCAGCCATTGGAGCCTATCGAAGAAGCCATTCAAGGGTAATACCGTTTCCACAAGCAACAGACGACGCTCCGAGCGCACCCAGGGCGTGCATGCCGTCGAATGGATGTCGCCCGACGTGATTGCGGCGGGACAGAGAAACTCCAAAATCTTCCTCCACGACCTGCGCAGTGGTGGCAGTGCCACACGTCTCCAACACAACGATGCCGTTATGGAAATGAAGCAGATGGACGAGTACCGGCTCGTAGCAGCGGGACCTAGCTTGGTATGTGACCCTGTCTGCTCTTGCTTCTTTCCTTTCCTATGAACACGGCGCTCGGGCGTTAGCTGACATCCATCTCAGCTACGAATGTACGACCTCCGCTTCGCACCAAAGGCGCTTAAACATCATGGCTCCTCAAAGCCCTACCTCACTTTCCCCGATTTCTCCTCGCTTCCGTTCCCAACCTTCGACCTGAGCACCGAGCTAGGTCTGCTGGCCAGTCGTAGGTTTCCGTTGAACATCAGAATACCCCACTATTTAGTTCGTCTTGGGCTAACGTTCACCTCGCTTTAGCCTCCCAAGACTGCAAAGTCCAGCTCTTCTCGCTTCAAACCGGACTCCAGGTCTCCTCGCCCCTCACAGGGCATCAATATTCCTCGCCACCTAGCTGTGTGCGATTCGAGTATGGGAATGATACCCCGGAGTGGCGGGGGCCGCATGGACCGAGTTTGTTGATCGGCACAGATGATGTGGTTGAACAGTGGACCTGGTAGGAGTGGGTGGGATTTTGGCATTCGTTGTTTGTTTTCGGCGTTCCATTTTCTCTCGTACGGGGATTCTGCGCATGGTCTTTGGTGTTCCTTGGCGATTCGTTTTTGAACTAGGTTGTTATTCTACGTCGGCGTTCGAAGGCAGCAATGATCATTATTTTGTGCTGCAAGCATGCAGTGAGGTAGGTGAACTGGAGGATTAGCGAGGTCGAATCTTCAAGGTATCTTTCGGCTCTACTTCCCTGCGCATACAGGAGTAGCTATTCAAGGGATAAAACGATAGTCATGGGCCTCGTAGCAACGCAACCACAATCTGAAAATTGTTCAAGCAGTTAACTGCCGTACGGATGGATATAGGCAATGATCAAGTAAGATGATAACATGGGTATAATTGACCTAACCACAAATAGAAACAGTATGCAATGCAGGCCAAGCCAGAAACTCCCATTGATAAATGCAAGAACAGGACGCCAGTACAAGGACCAAGTCGACTCCAACAGTACTCCCTCGTCCCCAAGAAAAATCAAATCAGTCCAGACCACCAGCCAACCACTCACCAACCTCGACACCAATACCCTTAGCTAGCTCACCGATCCAGTCACCAGAGACATTGACACACCACTTATCTCCCGCATCAGCAGTGGTATTCCCACTACTAGTCGCCATGGCATTATGGCTAGCGGCGGGAACGACGAGCCGCAGGCGTCGCAACGTTGCCAGTTCGGCGTAGATACGGTCTGCGACAGCCGCAACTCGAAGTGGGGTTGCTGGGGGGTTCGGGTCAATCGCATGGTAGATAGCCAGGAGACGTTCTAGGGGGAAAGGACGGGCCGTGAGGATGGTAGACGGACCGGCGATGCCTGCACCACCGCCGATGGCGGACGTGGTGGCCGATGAGGTCGCGAAGGCAGAGGAAAGAGTTGATTTTGTGATGCGGGTTTTAGTTCGCTTTCCTTTCTTGTTGGGGGTTGAAGGGTCGTCGTTTGCGGCTTGTCTTTCTTCTGCCTGGGCTTGGGAGAGGACTTTCAAACGTCGGCGGTGGTGGGCACGCTTGTTCCGGGCTGAAAGAGATGATGAGGAGAATTTGGAGAAGAAGATCGTATCTAGTCGTTGAGGCGTGTGCGAGGCCAGGTATGCGGACGTGAGGATCAGGGTCGAGAAATATGGCAGAGAAGGGAGAGCCGAAGGCATAGCCGTTTTTGCCCGTGGGGTCCGTTTCGCGCTGTCGGGAGTCTCGTCCGGGACGATGCGGTGCACCAGTGCGGACTCGCCCTGGTGTCGGAAGATGGCTCTGTTTTTGACAAGCAGTCGCGAGAAGTCCCACTCGGTGTTTCCGCCTGGGGGCGACTCGCCATTCACTATAGGCGCAACGAACCGAGGCCACAGGTTGTCACATATGGACCGGAAGTCTGGTATGGAACCCGCTGTCGGTCCGATTAATGAGTCGTAGACTGTAGAGACAAAGTACGGGTATACCCGCGAGGAG